GTCTGGGTTCTTTTTTTCCCCTATGGAATCCCAAACATGCTATGAATTTGAGTCCTTTGTTGGCAGATATTTGAAATATGTTTTCCTAGTTTCTGACTTGCTTTCACTCTATTAATTTATCTAATTTTGTTTTAATGATTAGTTTTTTATATCTTGTATAAGAAATATTTGCCTATCTCAAAGTCATTAAGATCATTGCCCGTTTCCTTCTAGAAAATTTAGACTTTTTAGTTTCCACATTTCTATATGGATCATACACTCTGAACTGATTTTTGTTTTTGTTGTAAAGCAGGTAAGAATTCATGTTTTTCAAGCAGTTACCCAATTAGTTCACCACCATTTATCGGTAAAGATATACTTCCCCTCCAGAACTGTGGCAGTGGCTTTGTGCCAATCCTTGTGCCTAATACCTAATACCAATAGAGTCTTAATTACTGTAATCTTATCGTAAGTCTTGATATCTGGTAGTGTGTACCTTCTAGCTTTATTCTTCTTCTGCATGGTTACTTTGACAGCGTTTCCATAGAAACACTAGAATCAGTTTTTAAATTTCCACAGAAAAAAATCTGGAATTTTTATGGGGATTCTAGCGAATTTGAGGTCACCTTGAGTAACAACAGACAAAACAATAGGAGTCTTCTAATTGGTAAAGAGGGCATATTCCTCTGTTTAATTTTTCTTTAACTTCTTTCAGTAGTGTTTTACAATTTTTAGTATTGGGGACTTATATGTAGATAAGCATATTTTAAACCCCATAAGATATTAGTATTAATGATTTAGATAGTCAGCATTCATTTGGATTTACCCATATTTTCACTCTTTTTATTTTATATTTCTCCCTGCACACCCTTGCTTTTGTCTTTCTGAAGAACTTCCTGAGATATTTCTTTAATATGGGTCTGCTCAGCTTTTGAATCTAAGTGGAAACTTCATTTCTGAGGAATGTTTTCTGTGTTTATAAAATCTAGATGGGATCACTTAGAAAAAGTGTCATATCACTGTTTTTTGGTCTCCATTATAACTATTGAAAATAAGTTATTAGTCTTTCATTTACTGCTTTGAATATAATATGTCAGGGTCTCTCAATGCTTTTACGAAGTTAAGAGGTAAGTTTCTTTCCGCCTTGGTGGGCTATAAATTCCAATTTGTAAGGACTTAGATATATCCACCTACACCACCAAAAAGCTCCAAATTAGAAGGATATAAAGAAAATGTATTAAAGTGGATTAGTTTTTGTGTTTTTTTTTTTTTCTGAAAACAGTAGATAAAGAAGGTATTATATACAAATCAAAACCACACTCAGATATCACCTCACGCCAGTCAGAGTGGCCAAAATGAACAAATCAGGAGACTCTAGATGCTGGAGAGGATGTGGAGAAACGGGAACCCTCTTGCACTGTTGGTGGGAATGCAAATTGGTGCAGCCGCTCTGGAAAGCAGTGTGGAGGTTCCTCAGAAAATTAAAAATAGACCTACCCTATGACCCAGCAATAGCACTGCTAGGAATTTATCCAAGGGACACAGGAGTACTGATGCATAGGGGCACTTGTACCCCAATGTTCATAGCAGCACTCTCAACAATAGCCAAATTATGGAAAGAGCCTAAATGTCCATCAACTGATGAATGGATAAAGAAATTGTGGTTTATATACACTATGGAATACTACGTGGCAATGAGAAAAAATGAAATATGGCCTTTTGTAGCAACGTGGATGGAACTGGAGAGTGTGATGCTAAGTGAAATAAGCCATACAGAGAAAGACAGATACCATATGGTTTCACTCTTATGTGGATCCTGAGAAACTTAACAGGAACCCATGGGGGAGGGGAAGGAAAAAAAAAAAAAAAGAGGTTAGAGTGGGAGAGAGCCAAAGCATAAGAGACTGTTGAGAACTGAGAGCAAACTGAGGGTTGATGGGGGGTGGGAGGGAGGAGAGGGTGGGTGATGGGTATTGAGGAGGGCACCTTTTGGGATGAGCACTGGGTGTTGTATGGAAACCAATTTGACAATAAATTTCATATATAAATAAAAAAATATTTTAGATATTATACAGTAAAAAAAAAAAAAAAAAAGAAAGGTTGCATCTGACATCAGCTGACTATGGAAAATGGGGACAGATATTTGTCATGTTAACATATGAAAAGATGAAAATATTGTAAGACCAATCTGGAAGAGTTCTGAAGGGGAGATAACCAGCCATATGGGGTACAAAGTAGAGCAGAGTTGGACAGGAAAGAAAAATATGAAATTATTCTTACTTTGAAAGCTTTTATTTTTCTAAAAAGAAAAGAATTATTCTAATACTTCAAAACACTGTTTCTATAAGAGTTTGAGGTTTAAATTATTATACTGCAGTTAAAATTTTAGGTTTTATCTTGTTCAAATAATCAAATTTGGCACTTTCTTTAATTTTCATTTATGCTCTGACCTGAATGAAAGACTGGCATACTAAATTTAATTGCACTCAGTTTAATTGCTTCTTGATTTTTGACTCATTATTTGAGTTGAATAAGTCAAAATGTTAGAAATGAACAGGGAGTTCTGAGAAGTGAAACTCTGAAGGCATGCTTCCCAGCTAGCATGCTGAATGGGAGAGTTAGAACTGACTGAGGTCAAATTTGACTGTACATATTTTCACGTTATTTGGAAAGAAATATGACAACTTGGTATAACTTTCCTTGAATCTAGTCTCCTCACTGTTTATCACAAAGGGGTAATCATCATATATCCTATTGACATCTGAGTAGAGGTAGACATGTGGGTGCTTTGGAAAATGTGCCCTGACCAACATAGTGTCTATTACTAAAGAATATAAAGGAGACTTTCAAACCCTTATCAGTTTCTAGATTTTTTCTTGTGTCTATGCTCATAAGTCAGAAGAAAGTAAGACAGTACATTTATGACTATGTGATTAACAAGGTAACAACTGTATTTTCAGTATAAGTGCAGATGAACTGAGGGACAACTTCATAAAGCCATTCATTAATGTAACTGGTTGCTAAAGACAGAACAATCAGTTATATTCAGTCATAATCAGTTCACATTCAATGGGTCTGAATTAGACTGGAGTCAAATGTTATTTAAAAATTAGAATAATTATTAAAAGTACTTCCTAATGGGGTGATTGGGTGGCTTAGTGGGTTAAACATCCAACTTCGGCTCAGGTCATGATCTTCCAGTTTGTGAGTTCGAGCCCCACATTGGAGTCTGTGCTGACAGCTCAGAGCCTGGAGCCTGCTTCAGATTCTATGTCTCCCTCTCTCTGCCCCTTACCCACTTTCTATCTCTCTCTCTCTCTCTCTCACAAAAATAAATAACCATTAAAAAAATAGAAAAAAAATTAAAAGTACTTCCTGATGAAGAAATCTGTAATGCTTTGGAGATTTTCTATACATTCATTTTGGACTACTTAGGCTAGTTTGCTAGGATTTGGTGGAATAAATTAAAGGACTGCTTTAGTGAAATTGTGAAATATTAGCCTAAGAGAAATGTAACACCCACATATTTAAATCATTTTTATGTGTGAACCCTCAAATACTTCTGAAAACAAGTGTGTGTGTGTGTGTGTGTGTGTGTGTGTGTGTGCAAGTGTATATGTGTTTTAGCTTATTCAGATGGGGAGTGGTTGGACAAGATTAAAAACTTATGAAAAACCAAGAGTTTCACTGATAAATAAGAGACTGCAAATGCACAAATCTGAAGTAGCTTTTCACAAATGGGCTCTAATAACTGATGGGAGTATTTTGTTGCTGTTAGTATTGTTATAGTTATGAATTAATACCCATGATACAAATTCATCCAAGTTCTAATGTCTTCCTGGTCTTGTTATGCTTTACCCCATAGAATAGAATTAACTTTTTCTTTCCTTTTGAAATACTTATCTTTAGATTGGTCATGCCTATCACATGAAGCATTGTTCATATGAGAATCATGGTATCAATTCTCTTCGAAAACCTCCCCTTTTATCCCCCTGGCAATGGATAACACAGTATGGAATCTGTGCTGAGGAAAACTCCAGAAACCAAATTCTCCCGGATGGTAACAATGCTTCCCTGGGGCATAGTGAGAAGGGTCTCAATTCACCTCCTCTCCATGTTCTAACTAGACACAGGAAGCCCTTTAGCCACAAGCAATGGGGTTTCATTAAACCACTTCACTTTAGGTGTAACAAAGCTCCTTCCAGGAAGCAAACCAGAAACTCTAGTCAGATTGTAGAATTGCCCAAACATTGGGGTCCCTGCTTTTACACAGCACAAAATTGTGTAATGGCACCAGAGGCTCCTTAACAAGCTAAAAACCCTATGGAGCAACAATGATCAGGCGAAAGAGTCATGGAGTTTCTGATTGAAGCTGAAGTTGAATTGCCATTTCAATTCTTCCCTCAAAATTATCCAATTAATCTGCATGGATCTTTTTGGAAAAAATTCCTGTTATTCAAATGATTGCTAACGAGAAATGAATGGAGCTTTTTTTTTTTTTTTAAATTACTAAACCTGGTACATTTAAAAAACTTTTACTTCTTAAGTCCATTGATGCTAGAAATACTTAAGTGACATTCAAATAGAGCAATATAAAATCCCTTAAAGCCAGTAAAACCTGAGGGATGATTATTAAGGAAATCACAAAGATCTTCTCCAAATGGACCTTCTTTCTCTAAATCGCACTTTAATTTTTTTAACATTTATTATCAAGAGACAGAGAGAGACAGAGCACGAGTAGGGGAGGGGCAGAGAGAGGGGGAGACACAGAATCTGAAGCAGGCGCCAGGCTCTGAGCTGTCAGCACAAAGCCCAAAGCGGGGCTCGAACCCACAAACCATGAGATCATGGCCTCAGCCAAAGTCGGACACTCAACCGACTGAGCCACCCAACCATCCCTCTCTAAATCATTCTTTAAAGTAAACTCCAGTGCATAAATTTCATTTATCTAAAATTCCCTTTTTTTTGGTCAAGTCCCCTCTAGGAAGGGCAGGAGCTAAATGATAACCAGCACGGCTTACTTCAACAACACTGATACCTTCTGAATAGTCATGTAAGCAAGGAAGCCAGCCAGTACTTCACCTTTAATAATAATAAAAAAGAAGAAGATAGGTTAGATTACAGCAACACTTTACTAAGGAAGCTTTTACAGCATATTGCAAAATATCTAATATCCTAGTGTCCCCCCTTTAGTACTTTTGTGTGTAGACAGACCACTGACCTCCCCTTCCCAGGGAGTCAGGTACTTAGTTGGTATCACTTCCTCACCCCTCCTCGTGTCCTGGCTCAGATTGCAATATGTTTTTGGTGTGTTTTTTTTTTTAATTTTGAGGTAAGGTAAGAAAAGTAAAAATATTACTGTACAGAGGACACACACATGAATCAGAGGTTGCTTTACCTCAAAAAATGACATGGATCTTAATCTGAAATTTATATGCAGTTGACATAATAAATACTCAATGCTCCTATCTAATTTTTCTTCCTTATTCAGTTTGTACCCAACATCTGAAAATTGATACTAACATTTTGGACAAAAGAGCTATGTCCTTTGACTTCTAGGACCTGTTCAACCTGCAAGACCCTCTTATGTTCTACTCCAAGGTATTTGTTTATGTAGACAATTGTAGTAATGAAAGGACATATTGTTTAAGGATGTATGAAGAGATTTGCAGTCATTCATAGTGTTATCAGAATTAAATTCTAGTGGAATATCCAGTTATGCAAGTATAAAGAGAGAGGCAACATTGCATTTCAATTAGGGTCTTGACAGTCTACATATTTATACAATAAAGAAGTGGCCAAAGACATTTCTAAAACATTTTAGTAGAAGATGCTTCTATTCCTGAGAACAAGAGTTAAATCTTAAAAATTAATGGGAATTTAGAAAATAAGATATATATATATATATATGTGTGTGTGTGTGTGTGTGTGTGTGTGTGTATAATTTAACACACCACATATTGTATTTTTTAATGTGAAGAGCCAGTAATGAATAATCACACCATTCTCCCTGAGAAGGAAAAGAACCTGTGCCTTCTATTTGAAGAAACTAAGGTAATAAGATGCAACAGATTTGCTTAAGGTAATACACTTCAAACAGAGGGTAAACCTGTCTTTTACCTTGATGCTCCAATACACAAAATGATCCTACTTTCCATGTTTTGATATACCTGTGTCTGTCAGTGTTGTTTTGGACCCGTGCCATATGAATCAAAAGTATTGATCCACTAAAACTGCTGTATTGACACCTGGTGAAGTTAGAGCCATTGGCAGATAAACAACTAGTAATAACCATTCTTTTCTTATGATATTAAATGCAAAGATATTAGAGATGATTTTTCATAATAAGTCTTCTTTTTTTGTGGATCAGAAACAGTAAACAAGAATCAAATATAGGCAGAAATATGTAATTTAAAATTTTATGTTACATTTCGTTGAAATGTTAGCTGAATAATATTGCTTTGGCACATATGTTATATTCATGTCAATATGTTTCATATGCTAAAAAGATCTATGCAAGAGTGCCTAGCCTTCCCTGTTTACAAAAGAACTAAACAGCTGTGTAAGTTCATAGAAGAAGACAGAAAGTGAAATAAGAAAGTTCTAGGACCAGTTCAGATTATTTAACTACAAATATCTAATGAATCTTGTGATTTATTATAGAAGATAAAATATGCTTATGAGGAAAATATTAACTGGCTGCTCCAGCTGAGAAAGAAGAGCCATTTGGTTGAATTTAATATCAGAAGGTTCTTCCCCTTCTCTCCTTTCTTTTTATAACGCTATGTTAAAATTTCTCCATTCAGGTTCTTTTTTAGGCTTCACTTTGCCAATAGGTCAAACATATAATAATACTAAACATTATAGAGAGATACATACATAGGTGGATAGATACACACACACACACTCATGTAAGTTATAATGAGAGTGATGAAATGAGTATTAATGTATAGAATTTGACTGTAGGAAGAATCTTGAAGCTTTCTCTAACACTGTATTCCAGCCTGGACTCTTAAATCATTGGCTGGATTGCAGACTACGTGAATAGCCTCAGCAACGGATGGATGGATGGAAAGTCATGGATGGATGGAAAGTCATCTAGAAATCTTGTAAGATAATATCCTGGTAACTTCTTAAAGAAACTACTCATCTTGCATAGTTCCAGATCCAAACGCGGCAGCATAACATTTAAAATTTTTGTTGTCATATTTGCCTAATTTTGACCAAACACACCTTTTTCTTCCCTTTCTCTCTCATCTTCGAAAATTAATTCTCTGTCAATTCTTTAGCAAAAAGATCCACAGCAGAGAGAACAGGTCAGTCACAAATCATCCAGAGAGGTCTGGAATTATTCTCCATCAAATTGGTCTCCACATGATAGCTTAATAATAGCCCATCAAATGTTTTATTACAAAGATTTTTTAAAAGTCTTCTATACTATCAGAAAGAAAACATTGAATAACATTGATTGGTGCCTAAATATTGCAAAGATAAAACTGTTTGCATTGTAAATCATATTGGCTTCTCAGCAATTTACCTCAAATTTGTGAATGAAATAAAGTTTATATTATAGCCACATTATAAGCATTATTTATTCTTTTTCTCCACAATACTCAATGAAATGTTAAATACCTTTTTCGTAAGTATTCTTGCATATATAGATGTAGACTGCTATATGAGGAGTGTCTTTATAAATAAAAACTATTCAGACATATTGGGGAAAAAAAGCAGTAACCTATATCTTTTAATCTGAATAGCCAGTTCTTTTTTGTGATCCTACAGGATAGGATTTCCTGGCTTGCTAAGTGCCTTTTTATTTCTCTGAGTTGATCTTGGAAACGGAGTGTTTCAGATTTTAGTTTATCTTGATACAAGCCAACCTGTTCCTGCTTAGAACACTTTGGTTTTATATCTGAGAGCTTAATTACTAGATCCTTGGGTAGAAGTTGTGCTACCAAATCCTTAAAACAAATGGTGACAAGATAATTCTAAATGAAATTTTCTTTAATCTTACTATCTATATACCCCAGAAATTATTCACTTCACTAGAAAGTTTGGATTGGGAAAATAAAAATTGCATTTTTCATTAAACATTGAGCAACTAATATGTTGATAGCATTATGATATGCATACATGGATAGTGATTCCTCTGTTTAAGATTATAAATATTCCAAATATGAATCATATATATTTTTTGTTCCTAATTTTGAAAACATGAGTTGGTAATAGCACAGATATATTTTGTTTTTATTTGCAGTACAGAATTCCATTCTATAAATATAACTTATAGAAAGCAATTTACCATTTTAAGCACATGGATGAAAATACCACCACATAGAGTGATTGGGACTTATTCTGAAAATAAATTACTTCAGTGATGGGGCAAAAAGCCCTGATGAGGAAATCATGAGGTGAAAACAAACAACACTTCTATACAACAACGAGAAACCTTTTAAGTGCAAAGAAACTGTAATCCATGTGGCACTTGTAGGTACATTAAGATAAAACATCCAGGAGCCAGTAAATTTTTTCATGCTGTCAGAGTATTCAGCGGTACATATGAGCTGTCGTACTTCAGTCATCAACATCCAAAAAAGCTTAGCATTTCAGAAAACAACTTCCCATAGAAACAATTCAACTCCATACTAACAGGCATATGGATACTAACAGAATAAGTAAAATAGCAGTTGTCAGTCTCTCAGTCTTTACGATCTTTCTCCACCTCCTATTTGACCAGAGCCTGGTCGCCTCCAGTATCAATATCTTCCTTTCCTTTTTGCTAAGGCAGAGAGGAGAAAAGGGAGAAAGGAGATTGAGAAGGAGACAGGGAAAGAGAATGAATCGGAAAAGCCAAGAAGCACCAAAAGGCAACAGGGCTTTCTGGTTCTGAGAAGTCTGTGTGATCATTTGGGTTTCTATTTGCACTGGGTTTTACCATGGGTTTATCTGGGGAAAGAGATGCAGAAAAGGAAAATATTAAGAAAGTATGTGTGCTCCTCATGTTCTCAAGTGATGCCTTCATTTATAGGACATTCTGGAACCACCTTTCACATAAACACTGATACAGACAGATGTCTTCGGCATGAAAGTCAAAAGAATATAGGGATTTATTAAATTAGAAAAAGAAAACTCTATCAGCTCCTTCACCTCCACACCAAAAAGGTTTTGACATACAAGACGTTGGTTTCCCTAATGCTTAGAGTTGAGTTTTGCAATTCAAAATTCAAAACCAGGAAAAATATTAGATTGGTTGAACTACATTTATTAATTATCTAATTCTTTATATTTTATAGGCATCCATTCTTAAAATATAATGGCATATATAGCTAAAATAATTAATTCTTTGGCACTGTACTAGTCACATCTTCCTTCTCTCTAAGACAAGACTTTTCATACTTACTTTTCACTGCAGTGACCTTTACAATACCGTCATTTAGGGATAAAGCATTCAAATATGACTGCGCAACAGGAATTCCAATACCATGGTTTTAGAGCCAGAAGTATATTTTGGGTATATAGACATATAAATACATTTGGTTTTGGAGTGTTCATTCTGCATTTATAAAAACCTAACATGGTATTCTCCCAGGGAACAGAGAATGATTAGAGTGTGTATATGCAAAATTCACCATTAAAATATATTTACTATGCATGACTGTTACCCAGAGATAAGCAAGTTATAGTTCTTGTCTTCAAGGAGTGTATAGTTTATAAAGAAGAGAGACAAGAAGTTTAATTTCTTGCTATTTAAAATTCACCCTAAAGACCAGCACATGTATCTGTTCTGGGAGCTTGTTAACACTGTAAAATCTCAGGACATACCCTAGACATCCTACGTCAGGACATACATTTTCACAGAATGCTTAGGTGATTTTTATGCACATTAGAGTTTGAGAAACACCACTCTGATTGGAACCTGAGTGTGATTATTATCCTAACACCTAGAAGAAACATGGAAATGGGCAAGTTAGAAAGTGGGAAGGTGGCATGATGGGAAGGAAGGACCCTGGTGCCTGCGTTTGGTTTCTCAAACAGAGGACAGATTGCCAGTCAGGCACCTTTTACTAGCAT